GGTGCCATTCAACTACCCTTAATTCTAACTAAGTTGTCGTATCTCATCGATAACCCTTGGGCTGTTTCACTTGACCGAGCGATGCTGGCTGGCAAGATCCTGGCAGATTCGCTGATAGAACGAAACCTTGGTGCCCGTCCCATTATCCTCGTTGGTTATTCCCTTGGCGCCAGGGTGATCTTCTCATGTTTGCTTGAATTGGCCAAGCGAGGTGCGTACGGACTTGTACAAGATGTCTATCTATTCGGATCGCCCATTGTGGTGAAGAGGGAGGAGTATCTGCGGACACGTACAGTGGTTACGGGACGCTTTGTGAACGGCTTCAACCGTAATGACTGGATTCTCGGCTACCTTTTCCGCCTTACCAACGGTGGTATTCGCCGTGTGGCAGGGCTGGGGCCGATCGAAGAGCTGCCATGGATTGAAAATTTCGATGTCACGGACATTGTGATAGGACACATGGAATACCGTACAGCCATGCCCATTCTACTGATAAACTGCGGATGGATGGTGGAGAGCGAGGAGTTTACTGAAATCGAGGATCCTGATCCTGAGGGTCACGATCAACGGCAGAGAGAATTGATCAGCGAGATCGAAGAGGCCCGGCGAGCACTCGAAGAAGAGGGCAAAGCAGCCGCAGCGAGCAACAAGAAAACGGGCATGTTTGGAGGGTTCTTCAGTGGGAAGTCGAAGGCAAAGAAACAGGAATGGGAAATCTACGAAGAGAAGGGCGCGAAGCAAGCTGTACCCCCCGACTCGAAAGAAAAGGATAAGGATGCGGCGTATCAGGGGGCACTCTTCGATGTGGATGCCATGCGTGCAGAAATAGCAAGCGGTGTTACGGAAGAGACCGGTTCAGACCCCAAGGCCAAGGGATCAGAGAATATCCAGATCAAGGAGATTGAATCAACTCTGCCGCCCATGTCACTGGATTTGCCGCCCCCATTGAAGTCGAAACCACAGCAGACGGTACTGGTCGTTAAGAGCGCCGGAGCTCCAAGCACCCCCAGACCCGAGGCCGACGAGGTATCGATGGTATTCGACACGTCGTTTAATGATAAGCCTCCGCCGCCACCGCCGAAGGATGAGTTCTCCAAACGTCCTGTCCCGGTAACATCACAGACACTTCCTAATATAACACTAAACGACCCGTGGGCAGACGACCCTGACGACGACGATTTCGGTAAAGAGAAGGAGATATCAATGACTTTTGCATAGCCGTCGCCGGCTGTGAAGTCCTTTATACTCAAAGGAAGGCTACCTATCCTTCCTCCTCTTTGTGCATACGAGGGTTACGCGGCTTAAGGCGCAACTCGGATTGACTTTACACTGGGCTTCTTTCTACGGACTCCTGGGGAGTTGGGCATTATGTCTTTTCTTCTGATTTCGACGCAAATGCGGCTGTCTTGTTTAATTTCGCAACGCCCAGAATGAATCTGTATGACGAGGGAGGTTTGGTTCTGATTACGCCAGCACAGTCCACATAGATTAGCTTAATACGTGCATACAAAGAATACCTACTTAAGAAACATTGCATTACCACTCAACGTTGTTTTGGGAGTATCGTTATATTTCCGGCTAAGGATAAGGTAGTAATCGACTTCTAGGAAAGTCTGTATTCGGTCCCGGGCAATCGGTGATGGCGAGTTTCCAATACCACCAGGATGAAATCGTATCACTCTCCACGGTTCGGCGTGAACTATTAACGGTAGGTGCGAGAGACATCCTATTAAAACCTAGCCTGGCAGAGACAGACAGCTGAAACACGGCCCGATATGAATCTAGGGAAACGTCATAGGACGAAAAGTCCCAAGAATAGGAATCGACGAGATCGAGGTGGTCAATTAGTCCCTGCTAATTCCCGCCGAAGCTACATGTCGGACCCGGTAGTCACGCTGGCAAATCCTACTGCTACGGGACGAAGGAGGGTGTGACTGTTACAGTTTGTCCAAAAGTCATTTTCCAACTGCCACTACTACGGTCGCAACTGGCGGGAGTCAACTGCCGGCACTGGCACGGCGGCGGGGATGCGTTTCAGAGATCGGAGGATGGGCACCCGTTTGTGGTTTGGCCGCCTGGGCCTGGCCTCGTTTCGGGCTAGGGATTGGGAAGAGCGCGAGATATGATGCGACGCTGGTACAGTCATTGAGACCAAGACCGGACGGGCGATGTGGAGCGAGGTTACATTGGGGAATATATTTCGATGTGAGAGATCAGACTTTTGACAGGATCAGGGGAGGGGTTTGCTCGGGCCCCGGTTTTAGTGAGATGATTTATATTTTGTAGGCAGGATGCTTATTACTCGAAGCCATGGGGATTTGAGAGATATGATCCAGTTGAGAAGAGGGAACAGAGAGCAAGAAATGAGATTCCTCAATCCCTCTTGCTGGGGAGCGGCGCCTGGGCAAGGGTCGCATGGCAGCATGTCATTGAGGTTGATGGGAGGATTTACTCATGGTTGAAGCATAATGAAACAGGGTTTCATCTAGACAACGGCTCCAAAATAGGAATCTCACACAGATCACATCAGGGACAGAAGATCATAACTGAGACCCGAAGTCGAGGGAGGCTTTTGGTACTTTGCCCTCGGGTGCAAATGGATAGAAGGGCCGGAGAAGACAATGCGTGCTGGTTGCGGGCGCCTAAATAGGGTCTTTGGGCATGCGCGAAGGGGTGGTCCAAAAGAACCTCAGACATACATGGCCTCGGCGCATGGAGAGACGAGAAGGCTGACAATTGATTGGTCATGTGGTGGAGCGGCGATTGTCTCTGCTCTGAGCGCGCGCGCGAAATACAATGTAAGAGGCGGGCGAGGATCGTATCCACTGGGCAATACGGCATTTGATTCAATTGGGCGTGGAGCGACATTGCGAGAAATAAATTTGTTGCTTCCTAGGATTCCCGTGTTAAATTGATGGTTGATTGCGACGAGCTGGGGGAAGCTCCCGCTGCCCATGTCATGATGACTTGCCATCCCACTAGCCGCAATGAGGGTTTGGTTCGCAAGGCACATGGCCAACGGCGGCCAGAGAATCGAGAAGCCGTTGGGCCAGCTATTAATTGATTATTGAAAGCCATTCTGGACTTAAGATTTGACGGCTCAGGCTCTCTGGAATACCAGTGGTTCAGCCGTACCAGCCTAACAGCAGCTCGAGGGCGGCGAAGAAGGAGGAGGCAGGGGTGGGGATTCAGCTCCTTCTCTAGAGCGTACTGGCTGCTGTCAGCCGCACCCTAGTGGCCCTAGTGGATCAGACCCTGAAGCGGGCAAGCGGGTGACATTGAATTTCTGTCAGCATTCTACTCTACGCTAGAAGTATCAGATTATCGAGTGATAATATGAGTATACAAGAGTGAATGCGCGGAATATTGTTAGTGAGTTTGTTTTATACTACCGAGGCATTCTGGTCATTAAAAGGTTGTCGCAGTTCAGTTGGGTCTTTCCTGCCTTCTCTAAAGTGGCGGGATCGTGCTCTTTCCCGCTATGGGATTGTCCGCCAAGAGCCTAGCAGCGCTAGCAACTTAGCTCCGAAACGGACCCCATGCCCATTCCGCTCCCACCAAGGTGGCATGTATTCTTTGTGTAGCAGCTGCCTCCAAGGGTACCTGAGATCTCCCCCACTTCCAGAGCTGGCCCTACGAGGATCCGGGGGCAGGCGCCTTCGATTGGCCTCACAAGGCACTGCCACAGGGGCCATTGGCCCACATGCGGGGCGGGCGTTCTATTTTCTGCAACAATCAGTACGTACAGGGCACACAGCTCGCGGCACGGGGCATCCATGTGGTGTTTTTTCTTCCATCCATCGACCGCCGCCCTCATCGCCGTCGCTGTACCGTACGAGTCCGAGTACCTCCCCTTCCTGGCGCCCTCGAGCGACAGCTCCCACCGTAAAGGATTGCCCGGGAGAGAGTGTGCATGATTCGATTGATAACCGTACATGCAGACAGAGTGGTTGCCGTCGTCCTGCCATCATCGTCATGCCCTGGCCATCCTGGTCGGCGGCCTACAGCTCTCCAAGGCCGAGGGAGGGGGCAAGTCTGACTGCAGTGTGTCGAGGTACTTTGAGTGAGACCACATGCCATGTATTACCTGCCCATTTCCTGCGCTGACCACGCCAAAGCACATGCGTACATGGCTGAGCCTTCTGCTGACGGGCTCTCGCTACGCTGCACAGCGCATGTACCACGTATAGGGCTCCTAGCCGCTCTAAAATGCTAGGCCCGTGCCAAGGACCCAATACTTTGTGCTTTGCCTCCAGATGGCACGGCTGATCGCACCGTATCAAATTAATCAACTGTAGCACCTTGCCTAGTGGCATGGTGGTACGCCAGCCAGTCGAGCCCCTCCGCCCGGGAGCCAGACCACAGCGCACTGGTGCTTGATCCCGGACCTAGGCCAGTATCAAGCTCGAGAATGGCAAGAGCTGAGTGACCGATGGATGGGAGTTCTGGTACATGGGTGGGTGTTGGAGAGGTGGACTGGTCGCAGGCGCGAGACCCTCATCCAGCCTTGCCGCCCAATCGTGACCGAGCCTGGGGCCCCCTCCAACCCCCCGGCCTTGGTCTTACGTCTTACGTACTGTAGCGTAGCCCAGAGAACTGCAGGACTAGTCCGGCTTGGGCCAGTCCATGCATTATGCATTCGAGACTGGAGCCAACCAAGGCCCTCCATGTTTTGCCCTTCTCTCGACCGCTCCCCTCCAGAGACATTCTTTTCCTCCCTACCCGCCTGCCTCATGCTTGGTGCATGCTTTGCTTTTGCTGTTGCTGTTGCTTAGCTTAGCCTAGCCTAGGGATTGGTTTCGCTTTCTCTCTTCGTTCGGATACCCCTTGCGGACTATCCATGACAGTCATCATCAGCGTTCGACATCACCGACGATAATACCGACGACGACGACCCGATCTCACGCCTAGTTGCTCGAGTTTTTAGATTCCGGTCTACCTCAACTTCATTACAACAACTGTACTTTTAGAGGGGAAAGGAGAGGACATCAACCGTTTCAATGGAGGATTGGCGCGTCGTGGTGAGGCAGGACCACGGCCAGAGGCCGGCGAGCGATGGAGGCCAAGGTGCGACAATACAGACCATCACGAACCCAACAAGCACGGCTGGGGGGCAGGGAGGGCAACTTCCACCCTCGACCACGAGCAGCCAGGCAGCGTCCGTACCGACAATTTCGACCAACTACGTCAAGTTCAAGGAAGACAGCATATTTGTACCCGGCACCAACACGTTTGGCGGTGGCACTTCCGACCGCATTTTCGTCGCAGAACAGTTGAAACTCAATGCTGTAGACTTCGCCTATTCTTGGGAGGATAGCAGCTTCGAGCCCCTCAACGTATCATTGATAGTGGTGCAAAACAACAATAATGTCGACCGCACAAACGCCAGCAGCTCAAGCAGCTCAAGCAGCTCATCCCTATCTTTAACAAGCGGGTCTATAAAGTTCAATTACACCAAGTTGACTATGGGCGCCGAGGAGGGCCAAAGCAGCGCACAATCCAGCGTGGACGGCGTCGTCCTCGCCCTGGACATGTATTGGCAGTCCAAAGGCAAATCTCTCATTGGACACTCCTACTCCCCATACTTTGGTATCCTTGCAAATGCACAGAGCTCCAGAGCCAGTGCCCTCCAGGATCAGATTACCAACACTTACGGGACTAATGGGGACGGTCGAGATGCCGACGTTACTACGCTTGCCAGCCCATCGAGTAGCAGCACCAACACGGCCAGCGAAGGCCAAAGCAACCCCTCGAGCGGCGGCGGTGGTGGCGGTCTGAGCACAGGAGCCATCGTGGGCATCGCCATCGGCGGCGCGGCCGGCCTGGCCATCATCGCCCTCGTCGCATGGTTCCTGCTGCGACGCCGCAAGAGCAAGTCGCAGATCGTGGACACGCACGGCGCCTCCAACGCCTACATCGCCGACAAGGACTCGACCGCCCAGTCGCCGCAGTCCCCCTACGCCGACGACGTCATCCACAACCCCCGCGCCGACAGCTCGTCCCTCCACAACGCCCACGCCGACAACGTCCCCGGCCCCCGCGACGGCAGCGGCACGGCGACGCCCTCGGGACTCTCGCGTAACGTCGCTCACTTGGTCGAGGAAGGTATGACGGCGGACGACATCGCGCGGCTGGAAGAGGAGGAGAGGCAACTCGATGACGAAATCGAACGTGCCGCCAGTCAAGCAGCGCGGCGGTAGCACACAGACGAATGGCCAAAAAAAAAAAGCGACATTTTTTCCCGAAATGTGTATTCATCGTGTTTCTTTTGCGGTGTTCCCGGCGTTGTACCATCTTCATGTCTCATGAGCGGGGTCGATTTCGATATCATTTTTGCAGTTGTTAATTTCTCACATATATTGGTCGGTCGATATGGGATGTTGTTCATCTTTGATTTTTATTTATTGGTTATGCTTCATGGTTGTCGCTTTCCTTCCCTCCTCCCATCTTTGGCGTTTGCTGGGCATATAGCTATGTCTTTCTGCCTTCTTTTAGTCTATTTGCATGCCAACCTCCAATACCTTGTTTTATTGTTGGCCCGGGGATCATCTTCATTTCGAGGAGAATCGATTGGGCCGTTTCACTGGTGTGAAGGGCATAGCTGCACGCGAATATATAGCCGGATGGGGGGAAAGCTCTGGGAGTGGTGGGAGCGTGGAGAAGGGGAGAAGAGGTTCGAGTGTTCGGAGAAACTTGGGCGGGCTACTTATACCACTATCGTTACATACATCTACAACACCCATCAAGACAACTGGGCTCTTCCGCTCGCTTTCAACCTTATATTTACTGCTCCCTATGAATGAATAATGTGACAAGATCGTCAATCATAGATGCGCGGTATGACTGAGTTGGTCTAGCAAGTAAGATTCTACGGTATCAACATGAGAGGGTATAAGCGAAAATGCGTTTCATTTGCGCGAAAAGAGGAAAAGGCAACTCCTGGAACAAAACGCAAGTATAAAAAAAAAAAACGAGGCCGACCCCGATCCTCAAAATCGTCAACGCCCTAGATAAATGACCATACTAGTGTATACCGCTGGGTGAGACCAGGCGAACCAGGTAAACAATGTTTTGATACAGATGAACAAATATTGAATCTCTCGAAGTGTTAGGATTCCCGGTCTGAATGATCCCTATCGCCCTCACGAGGTTGCGCACGAAGTGACCAATCAAACGCCAGGAGTCCACAACATCTCGACCGCACGCTTCGTCCCTAATCTTATCGTCTAGCTGCGAGTGAACCAGCGAGAGACCATGTTGGTCGCAATGCTGCCTGCGAGGTTTCCTCCGCTGAAGGCGCTGCCCGCAATGTTCGAGGCCTGGCTGAACTTGTCGCACCGCGAGAAGGCCAGGGTGTTCATCATGGTGAGGACCAGGGCGATGACTACGAACACACAGCAGGTCAGCAAGAGAAACTATAGATGGGGTTGGAGGTTAAAGGGGGCAACAAGGTTGTCAACTTACTGACGAGCGGCAGCCACATGAAGGCGAACCTCACCAGCGCCAGGATGAACATGACTATCCAGAGGACGGGCTGCACGTACAGCGACAGCCAGAAGAACCGGCTGTCCGTGGCGTTGATGGTCCTGGTCGCCGGGTCGCTGCTCTCAAACACCCACTTGGAGTCGCCCGTCGCAGGGTCGACCTCGTTCCACCATCGCAGCCCCACGAGGCGTCGTCCCGCAATGTTCTTCAGGTAGTAGAAGTCGGCCGCGAGGAGGAGAATCGTGATGATGAAGGTCATGATCCTACGATGCCGCCAGGGTTAGCTAAGCTGCCTCCTTGGAGAGTTGAACAAGCGCGTGGACACTTACATGCTCTTAATTATCCATAATCCGAGGAAATAGACGAGAACACTCGCTGAATCACAGTTAGAACCAATTGCGATTTTCCAAAATGGGGAGGGCCGAGCTCACATATTCTGAAAGTAAGGAAAGTCAGAAGGGTGATGGGGTGCGAACTCAGCCGCCAGCTCAGGGTGCCTGGTGCTGCCTGCTGGCCCTGCCCGCTCTCCAGGTCCATGATGTCTGCTGTTCTTCCGAGTCGCTAGCGTATTTCCAGATGACGATATTCCGACCGAACGAATTGATGGGCGTGAGTTGCGCTGCTGAACGAAGTTATTCTGGTGACCTGTCCTCTCAGCTTAGAGCTACCTACGCGTACGACTAATAGCTGGAAGGAAGGAGGCTGTATTACCTCAGCTCCAGGGCGGTGAAGCGGGGCAGAATTCACGCCCATCACCACCACCGTCGCGACGGCTATGTAGTCGGCTATATCACTTGTGTCGGCTTCATAGTCTTCAAGTAGTCTAAATCTGTGTATAAAAAGACGGTGTCGCTTTGTGTGCCCTTGAAAGGCGATCCTACATCTCCTGCTAACCTGTATACATCCGTTCTCAACCCAATTGTTGACATAACATATTGTCTGTCCATCCGGGTGTTACACACCTCCCGTCCAGCATATCATCCGTGTCCTTCATTGTCCAATATTTTATTAATCAAATCACGCCAACATGGCGACGAGAGCCTCAAATGTTGTCCGGCGGTCATTGCTCTATGGTATGTTCCGTTGACGGCAAGACGCCCACTCACAATGTCAACCGTGCTGATTGATGCCTGTATTTGCAACACCCAGTCCCAGCTTCGTCTCAGAAGATGCTGGCGAAGTCACTGGGACTCAAATCAGACAACGTCACCTATGACTTGGAAGACTCCGTGGCTCCCCTGATGAAGTCGACCGCCAGAGACCAATTGAAGGCGCACATAGGCTCCCTGCCTCAGCGCCCAGCCGGGATCAGCGAGCTCGCAGTGCGCATCAACGCTGTGTCAACTCCCTTTGCACTCGAGGATCTCTCGACCCTCGCTCCGTCTTCCGGGGTTGATGCCGTCGTGGTTCCCAAGGTGGAATCCGCAGCTGACTTGACCTTTGTCACTGACGTTTTGCGACATGTTGCTCCTGAGCGCCACTCATCGGGATCCAGCAATCCGATCAAGATCATTGCTCTGATTGAGTCTGCCAAGGCCATCATGGATCTGTCGTCAATCACTCGCGCATCTCCATATCTAGACGGTCTAATTTTTGCTGCCGAGGACTTTGCTCTTGATCTCTCAATCACTCGAACTCCATCTCTGACCGAATTCCTCTATGCCAGATCAGCCATCGTGACCGCTGCGAGAGCTGCCAATCTCCCCAGCGCCATTGATCTAGTCTGCACATCTTTCCGTGGAGAAGAAGGTATCAGGCAGCTCGAGGAAGAGTGTAAAGGGGGTAGGTCTATGGGATTCAATGGAAAGCAATGTATCCACCCAAGCCAAGTCGAAACTGTTCAATCTCTCTTCAGCCCTGAGCAGGTTGAGGTCGAATGGGCTGTGAGGGTATCAATTGCCGACGAAAAGGCCAGACAATCCGGTCGTGGAGCATGGACTCTCGACGGGAAGATGATCGATGCCCCCGTGGTTGGTAAGGCCAACTCCATCGTAGCTAAAGCCGAGCAGTGTGGCTTCAACATGGAGGAACTAAAAACGAAATGGAAAAACCAGGAGCCAGAGTAAAAAAATTCAAATCGAACACCAAGTCAGATTTATCTATAAAAAAGAATTCGGCCGCCAAAATCGTGCCATATCAAGACCAATCGTTCCTTCAGTTGTCCCAGTCCCTCTCCTACTTGACAGGTCTTCTTTCTGTCCCGAGAGCCTGCTTGTTGCTCGATCCATGAATCTTGGAAGTTGATCGAAACCAGGGGTTAAGAAAGCGCTTCGACTATAGTCGCTTATCCTATACCCATGCTCTTCTACATTATCGTGATTGATACCACGGCTTGGGAGTAATTCATTCTCCAAATGCTCTAATTCAACGCATCTATCCATGGGCTTCCCAGTGAAGTGCGAAGAAGGCCGTCCAAATTCTATGTTAAATCTCGCATCATCTATCATAGGTTCAGCTCCAGTCAATGGGATGCTAGCAGTCGGCGCTTCTAACATGGAGGATCTGACGAAGGGTTGAATGACGGAATCTTCCACTGGTGCTGATATGGGCACAAACAGAGCTGTGCGAGGACGGGCCTGTTCGATATTGGGGAAGTTAAAATTTTCCCGACTATGGAATCCTGTTAAGCTCCAGGGATGTCCAGATAACCCAGTATAACTAGGCAGTGGGAGTTTCGAGGGGGATGATGGTTGATCTGCCCAGCGTTGTCCTATCTCATTGGCAAAGTCGTCGGCTTCAAATACATGGTAATGCGTTGGCAGTGTGGTATTCTCGCTGCTTGTCATCCATGGCTTTAGATGGTAATCCATTCTAGAAGGTTGGGCCTGACTTGGAGCATTCGATTTCATTTCTTCGGTTGGATCAGTCATCTGGTTGGGAAAATAGTTGGGCATGACGCTATCCCATTCATGCAGCTTCTCGTGAAGGCCAGGAATGCTATGTTCCAGTTCCACGCTGTGTGTCGATCCTTCTGTGCACGGCTGCTTATCACAGGCCGGAAACTGATGTGTGTCCAAAACCCTGCTGTTATCCAGCCCATCCGAGTAACTGCCAGGAATGATCTCCTCACGTTCAGGTGCGCGTGTGTCTCTTTGACCTTTCGCAAAGGAATTCTGGTAACTGAAAACTCCAGTTTGAAAAAGCCTCCTCAAAATAGGGGTGGGTATAGAACTTCCATCCGATTGCGGACTATTTACCAGGGCCTCAGTCTTGGATACATCTGGGGCCGGCGGGTCAGGATTGGTGTTGCTCTCGAGGACATCACGCATTCCGGATTTGTCAGGTTGAGGACACGCTTTTTCATCCAAGGCCCGACCCTCTAGATCTCCTTTTGGTGAGCTTTCTTGCATGTTGTGGCTTTTGGATGCTGCGCAAGTTGGGTTGGCCTTTTTTGTTTGCGCTGCCATTGCGTCGTTCACGTAAATCGACCTCTCATGATCCAGATGCCCGTGTGCAAAAAAGTCCTCAGCTTCGTCAACATAGTTTCGTCTTCGTTTTCTAGTCCTCGGCTGTCTGTGTTCCAAATTTTCTTCTTCACCCTGGTCATTTTCCGGGACGGTAGTTTCTAGGTTGCCGGAGGGTATCATCGGCGCTGAAGACCTATCAATAGGAGACTCTAAGTCGACAGGGTCGGTAATAGTTCCTGAGAGTGGGCCTCTCCCATTCATAAATAGGCCAGCCGTGAAGTTCGGTTTCAGCTTTGGAGTAAATCATTAGCTGACCAGCGGTGTGTTTGAGTTTCGGGAGCCCAACCTACCGTGACCCTGGTTGTTGTACTTGGGATCGCAGAGGACGTGAAACTGTTCATGATATCCTTCCGAGACCGAAGAGTTCGCGATCGACTACTGCGCATCTTGGGTGACTTCTCCTCAGGTGGTTTTCTCAACTTTGTTTCAGGCTTCCGTTTCTTCCTAGGCCTGTGCTCATCTCGGGGGGTTTGAGAAGTCCTTTTGTTCGAATTGTAACGATCCGGTCGGGTTCTGGCTCGTGGTCTTTTTCTATACATATCCTCCTCGAGAATTTCCGAGATTTCGTGATACGTTCCAATGTTAGAGGGCACGGAGGCAGCCGAGCTGCCTGATGAGCCGTTATCGTTGCCATGCCGGCGTGGTGGCGATTGAAGCGGGTGATCTCTCAGAACCCAAGAAGATCGATTTTGGTCCAGTTTGTTTCCGTAGTCGGACCTATATTTGCTTAGAGGCAAGTTATGAGGTTTCCACCTCCCAACATCTTCGATGTCTTGGTCAGCATCTAAAGAGCCATTTTCGAAACTGGGCTGTGAAGGCACGGTCTGGATCCAGGATTGAACATAGGCGTGCTTCCCATCCTGTTCTAGATGATCTCTATCGCCTTCCTCCTGTCTGCTTTTGGAATCATTGTTGCTTCTAGGAGCTTGAGGCTCGCGGACCCTTCGTCTCTTATCCGAGCGAGAAGAAGATTGTCTCATGGTAGAATACTACCCAAGTGTTGGTAGCCGGTCTCACTGTTGGTCAAAATCGCTGCAATCATTATTGTAAGACTCTCGAAGAAGCTCTGGTCTGCTAGCAGTGACGATCGCTCCGTAGTTCTGCAAATCGGAGGGATGGAAACTCCTTGGAGCAAGCAAGGGTTGCTGCTTCTCCCATCCCCATAGCTGCTGCATGCTCAAGCCATTGGTAGATGACTCTTGACTCGGTCATGAACAGGACCGACGCACTCTTGTTTGTGTCAGGAGCACCTCGTAAGTGTCAAGTTGATACACATGTGCTGGCGTAGACTTCGGCGACCGCTCCCTTGCAGGCACGTGCATCGTGACTTCCCTACTCTTAAGACTTGATCCAGAAGATTACCTCACTACTTGGTCTGGGCTAACGTGACGGGCCCACAAGGCAATTGAACGCCATGACCTAGCGCGAGAATCGATAACGCCTGCTTCTAGTGGGAAGCTCTGGGCCAGTCGGAACGCTAAGCAGGGCTGCCACAAATCTGCTAAGAAAAGGAGCAGATTGGCTTGCACTTCCAACAGACGGCCATCTCGGGCTTCGGCAGGCAATGATGCGGAAATTTTAAACTTCACAGGGGAACACGTGCAACGGCCAGGGTGTGGGAGATCAGCCGGGCCACTAAAGTCTAGACTTGAGATTACGCTGCGGCCAATGAAACAGGGATCCAGTTTGGGTGAGCCCTCGAAATGATGCAACTTTACGTACTGCGCTACGTACCACGGTAGTGCATCCCGTGGGCGGGCGATGGAGCAGTCAGCCGTTTAATAGGCCCCGCGTGGGCCAAGCTCCCTCTGTGGGCAGGGTAGCTCCGTGCTAGCGAGGCACCTACAAGGGCGCGCAGAAGCTTCAGCGAGGCTCTGCACCCCTCCATTGGGCTGCTTGGCTGCTTGGCATTGGTGTGCCCCGTCCTACAGGGAAGGCATTGCTGCACGCTCGGGATGTGGGCGGGAGGCAGCCAACATGGGAAGCTTTGCAGCCAAGTTTCCAACAGCTCTGGCAGGAAGGGAGCTGCTGTTCGACGAATGCCGCCTGGGTGGTGTAGGCTGGCCGGCGCCCGTCCATTGCCAGCCGGCCGGAGGTAGCTAGCTGGCGGCGTGCGCACGAGGTGCTAGCAGAGGCCTGCCTGGTCTTGATTGCAAGCCACTGAAATACCTGGGCCACGGCTCGCACCCGGCTGCTCCATGCCAGCTTCCTCCAATTACATACTCTGCCTCGACCTGACTTGCGTGCCCGACACTTGTTTAATTCAACGACAGGCCTCTGAGATCTGCGCCTGCTCTCCCGTTAGGTGTTCAGTCTGTCCTTACTGATTCCCATCTCAGATCCTGCTCACAAGGCCGTCAGCCCTCTATCTCTTCTCCAGAGACAACCACCAGCTTCCCCGCCACACCCCTCCTCTTTCTTCTTCTTCTCTACTCCCTCCTCTCTCCCAACCACAAACAACCTACCTACCTTCCTACCCTGCCCACTCTTCATCCTCTCCTTCGAGCCCCAACAAGCTGCATTACTTCTAAAGCACCTACTCGTTCTTCGAAACAACCCATCATCCTTACCGTTGAAGCACCCATTTAAATCATGTCGAAGCTCTTTATCGGGTCAGTGCTTCCCTGCTACTCAGCACCGCCTACCCCGTCAAATTTTGCTAACGTGTTTCATTAGTGGCCTTGCCTGGCACACGGAGGAGGCGACCCTTCGCCAGAAGTTCGAAGAGTTCGGTCCTGTGGAAGAGGCCGTACGTTCCCAACACCCTATCACCTTGAACAGCCACCCTGTCCCCGATTTCAGAGACGCTGTTTCTCTTCCATACGATGATGATTCTAATCCGATGGATGTGTAGGTTGTGGTTAAGGACCGTGACACTGGCCGAAGCCGCGGTTTTGGGTTTGTCCGATATTCCCAGGAGCCCGATGCCCAGAAGGCTATCGATGCCATGAACAATGTGGAGTAAGAACGCCATCACCCGGTCCTTCGCCTTTTCCGTAACGAGCCAAATTGGCAGAGTTCGTAGGACATCGTTGCAGGGCTAACATCTTCCAGGTTTGATGGCCGAACTATCCGGGTTGACAAAGCATCGGATAATGGACCTCGTGGAGGCGGCTTTGGTGGTCGTGGTGGCTTCGGTCGTGGTGGCTACCCTCAAGCTGGACCACCCTACGGTCAGCATGGGCCCGGGTACAACTTGGCCGGTGCTCCCCCCAATGTCTACCAGCCGCAGTATGGTAGAGGTGGATATCAGCCAGGATACGGCGGTCCTCAAGGTACGCATCCATTCAGCGGCCACTCTGCCTCCCTATACAGGAGATATCCATTGGTCAAGCAAATGTTAACATCAACTAGGCTACGCCGCTCCCCAATACCCCTATGTTGACCCAAACCAGCAGCAGCAGGGGCAGCCTCCCCAGACAAACGGAGGAGCTCCCCAGGGAGGTAGGGGCTTCTAACCTGCTAAACTTTTGGGTCACCACCGGCTTCTTCACGCGATCATCGACATTTGCGGTTACAGGGGCCCTCGGTTTCTGGATGGTGGAAGCGCGGGTATTCGAAGATGCAACAAACCCTTTTCACACCATTTGAGCTGGGCTCCCTGAGCATTCTGAAAATAGGTTGATGGAAACGTTGACTTTGCAGAGAGCTCCGAGCGAGTTCCAACTCCGATGCCATGGACTGAGGCGGTTCTTTTTTGGCCTTGGTTCCTTCTCGTTTTTTCTTTTTCTTTCTTTTGTTCTTCATCTTCCTAACTTTCATGGAACGACTGGGTGGCTTTACACACCTTTGGCACCTATCGGCCGGTTGTGGTAATGAACGAAGTTATCGAGGTACACCTCGATCAGGACAGTTGGGAAAGGGGGCAAGGAATGCATACGCAAGTAACGGCCAAAGCTTTGTTCATGATGATGAATCACACGACGAAGACGACGGGGGGCTTAGATAGGTCCGGATTGAGGGACACTGGCTTGCGCGGAAACGAATCAAGGATACCTAAAATTTCATGATATTTCTTTTCTCCCAACAGCTCGTTTGATCATATATGAGCTATTCTGAAGGCTTCTCGGTCTCCTCTAAGGTTCTCTGTCCAACTTAGGAGCTGGGTTTCCCGTTACTTCCTTCTAGTGCCCTCACTCGAACGGCCAAATCGTGAATGTGGTGATCGCCACTCTTTGGTGACAATTCATTTAGAGCCTGATCCAAGTTCAAAAGGTAATCCTTGTTTGGTCCACTGGGACCGTGGCTGCGGAAGATGTGCTCAGCAAGCTGCTGAGGGTCCTGAGGACCGACAAACTGCTCATTCTCCGGTGTACCAATGTAAACCAGAGTCTTTATCGACGCAGAGCCGTCGGCGGGGTGGAAGGGAGTGTAGTGTATCGTGTAGCCATTGATCTCCCGGATGTCAAGATACTCCTTGACCTCCTCCACCTTTTCAGGTATGATACGGTACGCCACCCCCCAGACCTTTTCGGGTGCGGAATCATGGTGGTCCGTGAGTTCTTCCCAGTAGGACTTCTCGATCAAGGTCACCACTCGGCCGGGTGCCTCTGGTGTACCTCGGTGGTCTTGGCTACAGAGCGTGAGAAGGGGTGTTAGTCACATATCAATAAAGTACAAGAAGAGGCATGGTGGCTTTATACCTGGCCTGTAAGAGAGGAACATGTCAGCCTGGGTACATCAATGAAGTAAAGGGAGTGTTAAGAGGCTCTCGAACCTGCCAAAAGCGGCGAACATAGCCCGTCACCCATCCGGGGATCCGTCTATCTGCTCAAGGGGAACAAACATGGCCGTCAGTCTGCCGCATATAGCAAGTGTGACAGGGCTGGATAGGCTAGAAGGATGGAGTAATACCAAAATGAGGCGGGGGCTTCCATATAAGACTCCTAACAGACTAGGTAAATATCATGAGAGAATTCTAGCGCACCGATATATACGACGGAGCAGCAGGCAATGTACCAGAGAAGCGAGAAGCAGAGAGCCACTTCATCCTCCGCGGAAGCGAGAGCCGTTACTTACCCATAACCATAGAGCCAGAATTCAGGCGCAGCTTCGTTGACTGTCATCGTTGAGTTTGACCGCTTGCTCGCTCGATATGCCCGAAGAATATGTCACGATTCTAAAAGACAAGAGAAGAATAAAAAAGATTATCTTTCACAGAGTCTAGATATGGCAGTTCGGACGGAGGTGAGCAATTAGCAAGCTCGTCCCTCACTTAGTAATGCGGCCGGGACGGAGATGGTAGTGCAACAAAGGTGGGCGCTTGCGTGCGACGTCCCCACTCGCTCGAGTCCTCACAAGCCACCATCTACACACACCTATGTCCGAGATGGACTCCGTTACATCAACTATCAAGTACTATGCCCACGGAAACTTCGTTTATTCCCAGTGAGTTTTCCCAAACTATACTATGGAAGCTATAGGAAGAAAAAATTAGGTTCTGGTGCAGGGCATCATTTGAAGCTAAGAGTCTTTTCACGTTACTCCTCTTCCAATACCTTCACTCGTCCATGCTCTCATTAGCTTAACCGTCTGGATCCTAGATCTAGATAAGAACTGACTTGCCAACTCTTCGATACCTAGTTGAATAACAGTTCTATACATCTCCTCGTTGTGATTTGGCTATTTAATTCACCAGATTGTCATTCCAAATCCTAAGAATGCTCCTAAACGAAACTGCCAATGTGAGGACACTTGGCGATAGTGAAAATTTCGTGACTTCCTGAGCTTCGGCATATAGGATAGGATACATATACTTCTTATATGGGAGGCATACGCCGTACCAGGTCTGGCAGACACCTCTATCAATTTCTCTAGGGCCTCAGTGCATTTTTTGCAGTATCATCATAGGCCTTTCGCATTCATGGTTTCTTGAGCTTCATCAAGGAAGCTTAGTCTGTCCGAGGGCAGCTGCCCACAATGTCAGCTTTGACTGATACTTGTTTCCAATATCTCTCTAGCCTCAGTATATATTGCAGCATCATAGGCTCCCGAGCGAAATTGCTAAGGTGAGGACCCCAGTCATACCAAATTTCATGGTTTTCCAAGCTTCAGTAATGAAGTGAACTATTGTTTGTCTACCTAAGGTGCGATGCCCCTTTATAATACTCCCAGGCACTCGAGCTATTCCTACAGATTCATAGGGCACCAAAAAAGGTTGATGAATAGAGCGATGGAAACTTTCATGGATTTAGCTCTGATGGGAGGAAAAGGATTGGTTCAGGATGGGACATTTGTTCGTATGACAGGACGAGGCGGAATTAGCGCACAATCAAAATTTGGCCCTCACGATTGATGCTTAATTGGAGACTTCAGTCCGATCAAAGAAAATGCGGTCAGAGTTCGAGAACATGGATGATAGTATGACCCATGTAATTACAGTCTGTGGAAGGGTTTGAGGCCAGGGATGTAAGCCGCCCAGAAAGGCGATAATAACATATTATAATCAGAAAGATTCTTTTGTTTTAACCAAGGCTGAATTCTTTATAGATATCCAAAGGCCGCACCAATCTTGATATGTCGTGATCTGATGATACCGTATGTTAGGTTCCAGATCCAGGTCAAAAATAGCCTGTCATCGATACTACCTGTGAGCCTCGCAACTCGAGGGCGATCGCAAACATTGAACACAGGGGACAGTGTGAGATAAGCACCGGAGTTGGTAGTACATGCGCGAGTTGCCGTGCATGAGTTCATGTCCGTACTTGGGGGTTCAGGAACACACGGAAAATAGAAGCCCGTCGTACACGCCGGTCTTTGAAAAAACACGCCGTGCCAGGCGCCTGTCCGGCCGTGATCCCAGCCGAAGTCAGTCTGTGCCGTCCATCAATCAGGGCACCGCGAGAATTCCACCCATGACCTGGGCGGTAATTACGTATGCGATGTCAATCTGGGTGCCCTATTTTAGAACCCGACGACAGCAGGGCCCCGTGCCTCCAATTGATGGCTCAGCACCCTGGCACAGGGACTCAGCCAGCAGTGTGGCAGCACTAGCAGCAGGCCTGGGCACCAAGAAATCTGCCCCGCGTTGCGCCCCTCGTCAAGCTAAGTGCCACCAGCCGAGTACGTAGTCATAATTTAGGACTTGGTTGACTGCAATCTCCATGATTCTCTTGCGGCTCTTCCCACTTCCTCCTCCACCCTTCTCGAGAACGTCTGCTGGCCCGACAGACTGCGCTTCATCTCCTGCATTCCCTAGAGTCGGGTATTGACCCGTCAATTGACATGGCCTACAATCAGCCCTACGACCCTGACGCGCTCCCCAGGTATGAATGACCCCACCATCCCACGGCCTTGGTAAGGTAGCCAGCTCGTGATCGTGACGATGACGACGATGGGCGCCGCAAACCGCTTCCCCTGATCTCGCCCAAGCCAGATGCTGATCTTCCTTTCTACTCTATAGATTCGCCGAGCCCGAAGTATGTCCCCTACCAGCACGAAAGAGCTGGCAACCCCATCATGCGCATCGTCACCCTCGACGAGGCTAACAAGCCCTTCTCTATAGAAACGTGGCGCGGCAGCTGGGAAGTCTTCCTCTCCAGCTCCTGATCAGCGATACAACAAGCCTGCGCCCCTGCCGCCGCAACAATACCAGCAACACCACCAGCCGCCGCCGCAGCAGCATCAACAACCACCACCTCACCGTCAAGGCACAAGCTCATCCTACTCCCAGCCGCCTTCGCACCATCCTCACCAGCAGCCTTCGCCTCATCCTCACCAGCATCCTGTCCATAGCCCTCCCCCCAGGCAGCCTACATACAACCGCAACAGCGGCACTCCCGGTCCGACCTTACAAACCGCAGATGACAATTCCGGTCAGAGTCTACTACCCCTCTTCAGGGCTGTAGACAAAGATGGTAGGTTTTCTCATACCCTTTCAATACCAGGCCAGGGGCTTGTCTTGTGGAGATTCATCTAACGCGCCATGTCTGCAGGTACGGGTCAGCTCTCGGAAAAGGAACTGTCGGCGGCTCTCGTGAATGGTGACTGGTCCGCATTCGACACACAAACGGTCCGTATGATGATCCGCATGTTCGATTCAGACAGGAGTGGAACCATTGGTTTCGAGGAGTTCTGCGGTCTGTGGTCTTTTCTCGCCTCTTGGCGCACCCTCTTTGACCGCTTCGACATCGACCGCAGCGGCAACATCTCGCTCAACGAGTTCAGCGATGCTCTCGCCGCCTTCCGCTACCGCCTCAGCCCGGAGTTTGTCAAGCTTCTTTTCCGCACCTACGACAAGCGCCAGGAGGGTGCCATGAGCTTCGATCTGTTTGTGCAGAGCTGCATCTCCCTGAAGCGCATGACGGACGTATTCAAGAAGTACGACGACGACCGGGACGGGTTCATCACGCTGAGCTTCGAGGACTTCCTGAGCGAGATTCTCAAGCAATTAAGATAGGTTTCTCATACGGCTCTCACGGAAAGATTCGGAATTCCTTTGTTGCGTGTGTGTATATACCCCAGGAAAATTACGGCATGCGAGCAACGACCACTCTCGCGATCCTGCTACATCCTACTTAGCATATTGTTCGTCCGGAATCAAATACCATGTTCAGAAGCTTGGGAGGTTTTACAGATGATACCAGGGGCTGATTTACTCTAAATAGAGCTTGGGGAGTGCGGTTTTTCTGGCCCGTGGCCATACGATCTTTATCATCGGCAGTGTCCTATCAGCGATACAAATATTTAGGAAGCAATTTACGTCCATTTACCTTTATCAAATAAACAGCATTCTTGCCAATTTGATTGCCAGCCTATAGGAACTCGATATAAGCCATATCAGGAGACTCATCTAACTCGGAGCCTCCTCACTGAGACGCTCAATCGATAACTCTCGTTTCACGGGGCGATTGATCAATCGTTAGCAGGCAACCATTGCGCGGAGGCGGCGTCTCATCGGTTCTGTTCATCATAACTGAAAAAGAGGCCATCTTCATTTAGGAATTCCATAAAATCAACCCAGACAACCAAGCTTGCTGGTGGTAGAATCGTGTTTGTACCTGCTTTCCCCATCTTGGGATGATCAACCTACCCTATAGCGTTCGTCTATAAAGGAACAGATCTGGGTCAATTAGCAACTTAGGCATTGACATTACTCGACACAGATTCCTTCTCATGCTTCTCATCCTTGGTTTTCGATTAACGGGAGAACAAAACCAAGGTGGCTGGTCTTAATTCTTGCAGATGAAACTTTCTAACATCTGGCCTGATCATGATATCACCACTCAGCAGTGATCTCCACGCAAGGAAACACTTATTTTCCCCCCCCCTCTTTAACCACAAACAAGAGTATATCCCAAGATCAGGCAATACGTACTTTGATCACACATTTTCCCCCTTCTTTTTAAAATCACAATTAGCGGTCCATACCCGAACCTTCCAACGCCACAAGGAAAAGTAAAAATATCATACTTTCAGCCCGGGCACAGGCATCAACCTCACAAAAACTCTACTAATAGGAGTTAATAATGCAGCCAGATATAAAAACCCGGCCATAGCCCCTAAGAGGGGAAGCTGTCGTCCAGCAACAACATCCACCTTTCCTTTCCAACTTGAAGCTCGTCTCGAACCGTACCCACCTCAGTTCCTTATCTTTTTTACCATCGACTACTCAATCAATCAATCACCAGATACCACTAACCACAGACGCTTCAAGCATCTACAATCTGTGGTTGGTGGTGCTTGGTGATTGATTGATTGAGTGGTTGATGGTAAAAAAGATAAGGAGCTGGGTACGGTTCGGGTTATACCACATCCAATCAAGCCTCCTCCCTCCCTCAACTTCATAAAATTAAGGAAGTCGTTTTCGGGATCTGGGGCATGTTACCCTGGCGAGATCCCCCATGAGCAGGCTCTCGGCCGCAAAACTTCGGAGGAGCAGCACATGGTTCCGAGTCTGGTTGGAGTTGGACCCGATTGGGCAGTTCTAGCCCTATTCGTGTCCATTCTGGGCCAGTCAAGGTGTTCATGCAGCCCATTTGAGAGATCAGTGCAACGTGTTGGTAGCCATGGGCTGAGAGCAATCTATTCACCCTTCTACTAGCGGTTCTTACAAGTCCGTGAACACGCCTCTTCCCCGAATACGTCGCCTCCGTGTAAGTATAAATTTTTTACCTTCTGATTTTCAATTGAAGATTCCCCAATATATATGGCGATAAGCACCTAGCAAATGTGAAGCTGTTCACAGAGCCTTCGAGGCTGGACTTTGCACATCCTTGGCAAATAGCTTTTTGGCTAATACCTTGAGATTTGTTCGTATCGAGGACGAGCGTATAATCCATTTAGTCTGGTCATCATGAGATAATTTTGTGCCGGCATCAAGAGCTATTCAGGTTGATGCTGGTGCTAGCCAGTACAAGGTACACTGATGTTTGGGTAGCATTGCCACCGTTGGGTGGTTCGATGTAATCCATCCGATGTTGTAAGGATAGAACTCGACACAATCACTCCACCGACAGCTTAGCCAGCACTAACCTCATCATAAAATGGAATGACGAGGTCAAGTGGTAATTCGTACGACTATACCAACTGTGCTCTGGTGGATTCGGTGCCGGCGATGTAGTTCCTGGCAACAAGTCATCCCGATCGTAAGATCGGAGTCTCCGAATGCGCTCTTGTTCCTCACAACCAACACAGCCTCTTACTCGATTTACTTACTGAAGCGATAAGAATGCTTACATTCCATACGGATTTGGCTCCTATGCGCAAACATCACTTGCCGGCGCGCCTACATGCAGGCGAGAGCAGGTGTTGCCGGCACTAACAGAGCAGTAGCTCCGGCACCCGGATGTAGAATGGGCAAACACAAGCACGACTTTCGGGCCCGGCCGGTGCGGCGCCAGTCTCCAGTCCTGGCCCAGCTTGGCCGGAAACGGCATGCGTACGAGTAGTGAGCCGATAGAATCATTGGCCTTGGACTGCGGACTGGCGGTGGCCGTCGGTGCCTCCGGGTACATCAAGGTTGCAGACTTGATTATTACTGGTAAGGTAGGTTCAATGTAATGTAAGCGCTGTCCCATCGGATAGGGATTGATTTTGGGTGGTGGTGTGGTGGTAGAGGTCGAGCGGACCTCAGTGCAGTGCACACAACGGTGCAGATTTGCAGGTCATTTTCGCCCAGCTTGCCCACTGCTCATTGACTCAACTCCCTGTAGGGAAAGGCGGTGACCCCACGTCGGCGCCTTTCAGGGCTCAGGGGTACCACGCACCACTGTACACGCCCCCCAAAGCTTTAGAATTGGAGAGCTTTGATGTGTCCCATGATCGCTCTGCCCTGGGAATGGAATGCACACCCCATTACCACACGCATTGATTTTGTACACCGCAGCCAAGTACTTGCGTGCACGCTAGAACCCAATATGCCACAGCGAAGCGCTCTCCTGATACTACACCGATGCGAAGGAATTCCTAGCAGGGCCGTTTTGTTCTCTATCAACACAGAGAGCAAACCCCGGCGCTTGCTCTGGCGGTTCTGTCGCAATCCAAGCCGATGATGTCAGCGGTGGGCTTTGAGGCAAGGGCCCACCCAGCGTAGGACTTGCAACCATCCATTAGGTGCGTTGCGCTGGCGTGGGAATATCCATCCGCGAAAACAAACAAACAAAGGAATAAATAAAAAGCAGACATGCGCTCAATAGCGTCGACACAGAGCGCAGCAGCCAACGACGCAGGTAGGTATGTGCCATCAGCTGAGGCTGCTATCAGCGAAAAGATAAGGCAGTGCAGCCGGGGCCGGCTTAGCATTCTTGCGAGTCGAGAGCCTGATTCAGGGCGTCGCGCCTTGTTGGCTGTGCACCAAGTTTGATGGGAACTGGCATCACATGGCTAGCATGCGCATGCTAGGTAAGTAGAGGCTAGGTACGCCCCTGTGTGCTCGTGACGGCGACCCCGGTTCCATCTTCAATTGGCCTAGACCTTTCCTTGCATCATGTTCCTTTCTTTTTGTTCCCTCTTCATCCCCAATGCAAGGAAAAGAAGAATTTGCCAGGATTGACGCTGCTGGCCAATGCATCCGTCGGCCATGTCAAGTCCGAAATGTGGGTAGAAATGCCGTTATCGCGCTGCAATGTTTGCTCTTATCTCGTCGCTGGATCTGTCACTGGTAGGTATCAGTGGAGCTACTACTTGCAGAAAGAGGAGCCAGGTGAAGACCCTGAAGTGGATGAAGGGAAGCTCTAGAATGGTGCTCCTGTGGGGACGGCAGACAGTTGCTCCTAGCCAATTGCTTGTCGTAATCGGATTGCACACCCCTGAGCTTCTGAGCTTTCTCCCAGAAGAAAAAAAAAACTCAAAAATGTACTTGTAGATTAAGTACCCGGAGAGTCAAAGCCGAATTGCCTCGAGCCGTCGCTGCTTTAATACTCTCCGATTTTATCCAGGAGACGGAAAATCATACAGCCTCATAAAATTTAATTTTGGCGAAAGATATCGTCCCTTGGCCGTTTGGCTTTGAGTCATGTTTCAATATATCAAGCCGTAGTTTTGAATAACAGCGAGGTCTGAGATATGATTTCGGTTCGGAGGGGGGGCCGATGAACTGTGGGCTGGGATCGAGGTGAGGTATCAACCGTTGAGAGCCCAGCTGCCATGAAGGACCCTGCCTGTTGCTATCATGTTTTGTATTAATATGCGGTATTAAACTTTCGATTGAAGACCATGGGAACGGGAACCAAGACGAGGTTAGGTGGGAATAACCGTACTGTTGGTCCACATACCCGTGAGCTTGGTTTGGAGTTGAATAGTCTTTTTTTGACAACATCGTAAAACTGTAATCGATAACGACCTTCTTGTACGATGATTCCTCAATTGCCAAAGCTTTCGCCTCACGAACAGTATACTGGGTCTTGCGAGCTGGCAAGCGTAAAGCGGCCAGGCAGTCTTTGCCCGTTCCAGTCGATGCAAGCAAATCGGCTTATATAAGAATGATGCAAGAGGAGGAGTCAATGTATCACGCCAGGGATGAACCTGGGTCGGGGTCGTGCGCGGGGGCATCTGTGCATGGTGAACAGGAGCTGGAACGGGGAACGCCTTTGAAAGCTCCACCCTTGAAGAAAAAAGGCAGTTGACACGGCGCTCCCATAGGCCAGTGTTTTGACATACCATGCCAGACAGCCAAATTCAATGCGGTCCAGTGACCTCCAGCCGAGCTACCCTGCTCGCTCGATCATGTACTCTACAGTCTCTGCATGTACTGTGTGCGCATCGGGGTAGCTCTGGACCTTCCCACTTGCCCATCACCTAACGATGGCTAAGAGTAGTCTAGTTGCGAGTCAGTATGGTTCCTCGTTCGGAGGCCACGCGTAGGCCGTTTCAGCGCCAAGCAGACAGTCACCTGGCCGGGCCGGCCTGGCCTGACTGTGCATACTCGATTCACCCTTAGACAGGGTAAGCGGGAAAAGAGTCGAGTGGGTAGGTTTCGGATCATGCCTGCGCCTGGCCGCCGCCCTCGAAGGAGCTGTTTCGCCCATCGAGCTTTGATGACAGTGAGATGTGCCCTGCGCACCCTCCCTCACCAGCCCGCAGCCGGACAATCGCTGCAAGGCAGATGGCTGTATCGATCCAGCAATTGCCTTGGCTTGGCTTGGATGGCCTACTCAGATGGATGGGGCGAGAGGGCTAGACATGGAGTGTGGCATGCAGAACACCAAGAGAACGGAGCAAGAGCTCTGGACGCCAATTGCCCCACAGACGAGCCCAATCCAGGTCGCTGGGGGTCTTGGGGCGTCTCGAGGGGCTGAAAGCTGGGTAAGAGCTGGACCAAAGCTGTCAATGCCAAGCTCCCCATTGGCTCGCGCCTTCCATCTCACCCACGAGAGTGGGTTCATGTGGGCTGCACCGGGGACTGGGTAGGCAAGTACCACCTACACAGGCCATGTACTATCTGTGTAGGGCAGGCTGTTACCACCTACCAGTGTCCATGCGGCTAGCTGCCCACGCCTTGGCTCTGCTCTGTGCTTCAGTCCAGTCCATGCTGCTGATTGCTTGACTGCTGCTCATGTGTCGGCCCAGAGCCTTTCAGACGGCCACCGAGCTTGGGTCTCGGACGTGGTGTCGGGGTGTGTGTCGATGGGCGGCTGGATGTGAGGGTCTGGGCTCCCCTCCTCCTCCCGATATGTCCATCCTTCTCGTTCGTCTGGTTCCTGATTGCATGCTACCTACCCAGCATAACATAACCATATTGCTTGTCCCACGGTTCCTTGCTGCATGCGTGCTGCCGCCGAACTGCCCATTGCCGCCCATGACTTCGAGTCCTCTCGTCTGGAACAGCTTCCGCCTGGCGTAGGTTCGCCACTCGCTGGACCCGAGCAGAGCACATGCCGGAAACTCTCTCCGCTGGATCTTGCCGGCCTCGATCATCGGCTATTGGGACAGCTCCTCGTGCTTGAGCTCGGGGCAAGATCTGCTCGACCTACACAAACCTTCTTCCCATGACTTGGTCCGGCCCACCTTGCCGCCGCAAGCTTACCATAAATCATCATTATCTCTGCTACCACCTGCTGCCATCCATCCGTACCTTTCCTACTACCTCTTGCTGCTGCTGCTACCTTCGTCTCGTCTCCTCCCCCCAGGCCAAGTAGTTTCCGCCTGTCGGGTTACTCATCTCCATACCTGCCGCAAAACTAGTCACCACATAACAAGACCTACCTGCCACCCGCCCGCAAGCGATTTTCTTCATCACGCAACAAGCGGAGAGCAGGCTTCCTTTGCTACAACCTCTACCTCTGCCTACTTACCTCCTTCGCTAGTACCTACAGTGCCGGCTACCTTCTGTTCTGAGGTAGCTCTGTGCTCCCAGCCGGTACTGCTTACCTTACTTACTTACCTACCTAGTCGAGAGCCTGCGTTCCTCCCTCCTGTCGTTCGTCTGAGGCTTGCAACACACTTCCGCCACCACTTCAAACCCTCGAGTCAATGCGCTTGTTTCGTGCGTCATCTTCTTCCGACAACATCAACTTATCTGCCTCCTTTTCCCCCTAGCCTCACCGTCTGCTTCCGGGGTCGTCTTGCTCTGTGCAATGCGCAGTTGCCACGCCACAGCGCAGCCTCGCATCATTAACTAAATCACCACCACCCACTATCAATCGCCTTATCGCAGCACCAACTGCCCTCAATCGCCCACCCCATCCCCGCTCGCTCGCTCGCGATAGCGCTGGTGGGGTCAAGATGCCGCCTCGGTCGTCTTTGACGTCGTCCTTTTCCATTACAGACTCCAACAATGAAGTTGTCTGTCCATTGCGAAACCAGGATGGCTCCAGCTGCAGGAAAAGATGTGTTGGCGTAAGTCCTTTCCCGCTACTTCAATCCATCCAAGGCGCAAGCGCCAATCCGCTTTGCGCAATTCCTCCCTCTTCATTGCCATCATACCTTCCCTCAATGAACTGGCTTCGACCAATTGTATTATGCTTTCTTTGCAAATATTTTGGAAAGGAACGGATCACAAGTGGGCTTCGAATTGAATCGTCTAACTTTTTTCGCGACTCAGGAAAAACGCTATCGTTCCATGCAGGAACACATCCGCCGTACTCATGCTGCGCACTACATCTCCAAGCTCCCAGCTACGGAAGAGAGCTTTCTTCTCATGACCAGTACACCCCCCTCGGATCGCCGACTACCAGAGAGCCCAGTATCAGCCTCAAAAAGTTTGTGCTCTTCCCTGCCGTAAGCTGACCTGTCGACTAACCAGCCATCCAGGCTTTCATGACCGCCTGTCCCTCCACCCTGACGACATGAGCAATCCTCCAACACCACGCCTTTTTGATGATTCAATTGGCAACCCTCTACTCGGCGCTCAGAATGCAGCTGCAGCGTTGGCAGAGCTTCATGGGGTCAAATCAGAAAGGGATATAAACGACGTGGTAAGACAGCACTGTGTTCATTTCCTTTCCTGATTCCTTCCGTTCAATATGCTAACATGAATCATCGCTCAGGATCACATGTATGACCATGACGCCCGGCGCTATCCTCGCAGCTCCATAGAATTGCCTCCTTTGAACCTACCAAATGATATCACAAGCGATCCGTCTAAGCGACCACGCGATATTCTTCCGTCTTTGCTCGCCAACTCTCCACCTGGCCGTTCCTCCACATTGCCTCCATTACAACGTCCGTCTGGCCCTCACCGATTGAAGAAATCAGGCGTATCCAAGAAACATCGGCCCGGCCATGGCAAGAAAGAATCCCGAGGATCGGCAGCAGATTGGTTGCGCCGAATTCAAAACGAAGAGCGACGACCAGGCAATGATAGGAAGGCACTCTCTGCCGAGCCATCAGCGGATTATGGCAAGCGATGGGAAGATCTCATTGACGCTGCTGATCAAGCTGCTTCCATGGCCGGCGACATTGATGAGGACCGCACACCGGTATTACTCTCTCCGGCCGATCGCATCATATGCTTTGGCGCTGACGATAAGTTTCAGGGTCCTCATTCACCGATTTCCATTCATCGGTCGTCTTTGCCACCCTTCACTCATCCGCAATTGCACACAGGAAACTACCAAGCCTCGCCATTGCAGCAAGCCTTGACACCCCCTTCCAACAATCAAGACTCAATTGACCCGTTCCCCTCTGTGGAGAGTGGGGAGAGTGGGGATACGTTCCACATGGACTCCCGTGGCCTGTCCGACTCTTCCCCGACCTACTCTTCCCAGAACATCCAGATTTATTGTGCGGCCTGTCAGGGGGTATCTAGACTCCGAAACTCGTATGCATGTACGGAATGTATATGCGGGCTGTGCCCCACCTGCGTTGAGGTCCTCATGTCGGAACACGGAGCGCGGAGGAAGTGCCCACGCTGTGCTACCATCGGCGGCCGGTTCAAGCCTTTCCAGCTCGACATCAGATAAGAGTTCTGAGAAGACTCACATACATTCGTTCTCGGGGTTACCAGGCGCCTGGCGCTCCCAGTACGGCCATCACGTATCACGACTTTGCTTTCTCTACATTCCTCGTCTCTTCCCCGACTTTTCCTGCTTGCTTGGCTTCTGTGTCTGATTTTCCTTCTTGATTTAACTTATAGGCGTTTCGTGAATTGCTATGCTGTGGGAAAGACTGATGAGCTTTCCTACTTTCTTTTTTACACCAAATTTCTTTTATGGGTCAACACGGATGGCGTTTCATATCTTGGTACGGTGGTATCTCTTATCCCTTCCCTTTTGGATATCCCTCTTTTGGACAGTACGTTTTTGGGTATTGGTGGCAGGCTGAATTTGCGGCACCTAGATGAAAAGACACCATTCTTTTTGTGCCAGTTTTATACCACGCGGTATATCAATCATTACTACTATACAGCATGTGTAGATTCGAGATGAACAGGACTCTCGTCATGAATATGAAAAAGAATTAAACATCCTTTACAGTCCCTGAGCCAGTGAAGCAAGATACGCATGGTACGTCAACATAAGTAAATTCATTAAACAGGAGAGCCTATTTCTTGGCCTCCTTTTCCTTTTTGAGTAAAATATCCCGGACTGCTGCTCTTTGATTTCGACTTCCTCCAAGTTTAGGTCCTCTGAGAACATCCTCCGAGCCTGGCTTCGCTGCCTGGGTAGGCTTCTTTTTCCTCTGTTGCTGTTGTTGCCGTCTCCGAGCCACGTCGTCCAAGAATTGCCGGCGAAACTCTTCAGCGAGACGCTCGTCTGCCTCGCCATCGGCTGCAGGGCTCGGAGCTGACACTTCGGGAACGTCGTAAACACCAACTAGAAGGAAAGGGGTCATGTCAGTGAACAAATCAATGCGTGCGTAGTGGGCACTGGAAGGGCACTCACGTCTATTCTCGCTGAGGAACTCCTCGACCAGCTTGTCGCGCTTGATGTCGTCGCTTCCGCGGCGCTTGCGCGGGCGCCAAGGTTTGCCGTCGCGGCCGAGGCGCTGCCGCTTCGACTCGCGACCGCCGGACTTGTCGTCTCCCGTGGCGGGGATGGGGTGGCTGGCGAGGTCGACCTCCACCAGCTTGCCTTGCATGACTGGCTGTCCAGGGGCCTGGTGTGCGGAGGAGGAGCGCGATGGGTCGTCGGCGGTGTCGTCTCCGTCTTGCGGGGGGTGATTGTTGGGGGCTGGGGGTGCGCGCTCGGCGGCTCGACTAGATAGGCGGGATTCTATGTATTGATTCCTGAATGATTAGTATTGATGAGGGTCGCTGGGGTTTGGAGTTCCTTCCCGGATCGCCGTGTGGGGGTGGGGGATCGTTTGGGATCTGGCGACGAGGCGCGCGCGGGGAGGGGCCAAGGTGGGAGGGCGGGACGTACATGTGCTTGTCGTCGATGTCGGAGACGAGCCCGGTCTGCTGCGTGAAGCGGTTGGCCATGCCGATTTGCGCGGGGGCTTCATCGTCGTCGCCGTGCCTGGGGACGAGGGCTCGCTCGTCCGACGGGGCGGGATCGGTGGTCGTCGCATGATGGGAGCGGGTGCTGAAGCCCACGCCCTGTAGGCGGCCGCGACGGGCGGACCGGTGGCGGAGGGCTGCTGCGACGCTGCTGGAGGCTTGCGGTGTGGTCTCCTCGGAGTCGTCCCGGCCAAAGAAGTCTGATGCGACGGCGCGGGGCTCGTTGGCGCTCGCGCTGGGGATCTGGGCGGCGCGCCGATCGCTCTCGTCGTCCTCGTCGTCGGCTCGCGATCTGTAGACTTTGCGCTTCTTGCTTGGGCGGAATCGGATTGTGTCGAGGGGTTGTGAGTCTGTCGCCTCGCTGGCCATGATGGCGACGAGAGGTTTCAAGAACGAAAATGGGGGGGTTTGGGAAATGTGACGTGTCAGGAATAGAACCTTATGCGCATGCGAGAAATGCGGCGGCAGAGACTCGAGATGTTGTTGGAGGCCGTGATGACTAAGCTAGTACGTTGTAGTGTATTGTCCCAACATCGCGCTTTCAGAGATGTCGGGGACATCAGATATTCTTCAATACGGATTTATTCCCTTAGCCTTATCCTGGGAAAATATTGCTGGCACAAGTTTCTCACCTGAAACTTCTCTCCAGTTACACAATACCCCGTTCCTATTCCACCATTGGGTCAACCAACAAGCTATCGTTATTACATCACTTGTGTGCTCGCCGAAGTCACTCAACGTCATCAGAAAATACCAGCGCATATATCAATATGTCAGAGCGAGTAAGATTATATTTTCCACGATATTAAGATATATCTACCGGGTAATTTTATTTCCTAACATTAAAAACTTCCTCCCAAAGATTCGCTTTGTTGCGCATGGTGGGATCGTCCAAGGTATGTAGGGTATCTACGAATCAACCCCCACCAGTCCGTGGTTCGGGGAGTTACTGATAATATGTGTTGCCACTGACTTTGTCTGTGCTAGGCGTGGGCTTTCGGTATGTCTGAGGAGTTTGGTTGCTTCCATTTATCCGCATTGAAGACGTCGGTGGCCATCTTGGCGCGACTTCTAACCTCTTTCTTCTATTCAGTTATTTCACCCAGAAGCGAGCCCGGGAATATGGCGTAACGGGATGGTGCCGGAACACGGATGACAACAAGGTAAGGCCCTAGAAGTTCCGCGAAGCAGGCAGGCGGCTAATACTCCGCCAAAGGTTGAGGGCGAAGCACAGGGTTCCGTCGATGCGATGAAGCAGTTCCTTCAGGCCGTAGACAAGGGCCCGAGGCATGCACATGTCGTCAAGCTGGACAAGGAGGGTCGTGATCTTGTTGAAGATGAGTCGGCTTTCGAAATTCGCCATTAGTTTAGGACTCAACAGGAACCCACAAGGTGGCGCGCCTATTCGGCTTTGTGATGTAGAGCGAAGCCCGGCGAAAATGTGAACACCTAGCTACTCGATTTCCTATAAAATAGCAAAAGACCGGCCGCTCTCAGAATCCTCGGCCCCGTCGCTTGATAACAGGCTTCTTCACGGCGCCCTGTGTGACGAACTTCTTGCCAGTTATTGTCGCCTTCTTCTTGGTCGTTTTTTCAACTTCAGCTTGTTTCCG